TGTTTAGGACATCTGCCATTCTATGAGTCTGCTGTGTATCTCACTTCCCATGTTGGATCTCTCTCCCCTTTATTTATTCTATCGGTTAGTATTAGCAGGCACTAGACTTGTTTATGTGATCCCTTTTTTACCTTTTCTGCTGATGTATCTGTCTTTATATCAGCTCTGCAATCTTGTGAGAGTTGTAGGTTTGTAGAAAATTTTGTCATAATGAAGTCTGTGACTTACAACATTTCTTTTTCTACATTATTTTGTCTGTTATGGTTCCTTGAGATTCCATGTGAATTTGGGGGCTGGTTTTTCTCTTTTTTTTTTTTTTTTGACAGGCAGAGTTAGTGAGAGAGAGAGAGAGAGAGAGAGAGACAGATAGAAAGGTCTTCCTTTTCCGTTGGTTCACTCCTCAAATGGCCGCTATGGCCGGTGCGCTGTAGCCAGCATGCTGCGCCGATCTGAAGCCAGAAGCCAGGTGCTTCCTCCTGGTCTCCCATGCGGGTGCAGGGCCCAAGCACTTGGGCCATCCTCCACTGCACTCCCGGGCCACAAGAGAGAGCTGGCCTGGAAGAGGGGCAACCGGGACAGAATCCGGCGCCCCGACCGGGACTAGAACCCAGGGTGCCGGCGCTGCAGGGGGAGGATTAGCCTATTGAGCCATGGCACTGGCCCTAACTCTCTCTTTCTGTCCCTATCTCTGTCATTCTGCTTTTTAAATAAATAAATCTTTTATAATATTTATGGCCTTAGATAGAACCCGGGGTACAAGCGCCTCAGGCGGAGGATTAGCCAAGTGAGCTGTGGCACTGGCCTGATTTTTCTATTTCTACAAAAAAGTATTTTTAGAATTTTGGTAGGGATTGCATTGAAGCTGTAGATTGCTTTGGCTAGTATTGTCTTCTTAACAATATCAATTCACAAGCATAGGATACCTTCATTTATTTGTGTGTATTTTCAGCAACATTTTGAGATTTCACTGGACAAGTCTTTCAGCTGTTTAGTTTTATTCATAAGACCATTTTTCATGCTATTATGAATGAAATTTTCTTAACTTCATTTTCAGAGATCATTGTCACAGTATTTGGCTTTTTATCCTGCCAAATTGATCAATTTATTAGCTCCAATAGATTGTGTGTGCTTATGTGTATGAGTGTATACAATTTCACAGAAATACAGTTTATGTATTTCAGGGATCCCTGTGTGTGGGGAGCAACTGGGAGCAACTCGGACTAGACTAAGTTACTGGAATTAAGACTTATTCTATGCATCTGCTCTCCCACAATATG